TTATTATTATTACTATTTTTATTGCTATTATTATTATTATTATTATTATTATTATTATTATTATTATTATTATTATTATTATTATTATGCACACCTGTTTACAGATCTTGTTTACTTCTATGCTTCCTCAAAGACAGGCCCCTAATTAGTCGTCTTTCACGACATACTTGTTAAAGGGTAGATGATCACTCTCCCCCCCCCCCCCCGCCCAATCACCACCACTACACAATGGGGTCCACGGAACCCACACGGGAATGGAAAGCGACCCACATCACAGGGGGGTCCACGGAACCCACACGGGAATAGACAGCGACCCAGATCACAGGGGGGTCCACGGAACCCACACGGGAATAGACAGCGACCCAGATCACAGGGGGGGGGGTCCACGGAACCCACACGGGAATGGAAAGCGACCCACATCACAGGGGGGTCCACGGAACCCACAAGGGAATAGACAGCGACCCAGATCACAGGGGGGTCCACGGAACCCACACGGGAATAGACAGCGACCCAGATCACAGAGGGGTCCACGGAACCCACACGGGGATCGAAAGCGACCCAGACACAGGGGGTCCACGGAACCCACACAGGGATGGAAAGCGACCCACATCACAGGGGGGCGGGGGGCACGGAACCCACACGGGGATGGAAAGCGACCCATATCACAGGGGGGCCACGAACTGCCGACGTTAAGAGCAGTTCTAGTTGCTCAGCTGGCAATAACTGGTACCGCACTCGATGACCTACTTAAACTCAACAACAGGTTATGCACATGTCAAGCACACGCCGATGGAGCAGTCTGACATAACCACAGATATGATATGCGAGAGCTAGTTCATCTGCACCTGACTAGTTCCCATCAGTAGTTCGCTCGTTTAGCCGTAACTTCCACTTTCGGTTCTAATAACACTCACTGTAGACGTGAAAGCTGCACTTCGTTTCTATTGAATAATCACCTAGCATTATATATTGTACGCAATGTTAGTGTAGTAAGAGTACTTGCAGGAGTAGTATCAGAAATGTAGCAGTAGCATTAGTAGTAGTAGCGGTAGTAGCAGCAGTAGTAGTAGCAGTAGTAGTAGAAGTAGCAGCAGCAGTAGTAGTAATAGCAGCAGCAGTAGTAGTAGCAGTAGTAGTAGTAGCAGTAGTAGTAGCAGCAGCAGTAGTAGTAGTAGTAGTAGTAGCAGTAGTAGTAGTAGTAGTAGCAGTAGTAGTAGTTGTAGAAGCAGTAGCAGTAGTAGTAGAAGCAGTATCAGTAGTAGTAGTAGCAGCAACAGTAGCAGTAGTAGTCGTCGTAGTAGTAGTAGTAGCAGCAGCAGCAGTAGTAGCAGTAGTAGAAGTAGTACTATTAGTAGTAGCAGTAGTATTAGAAGCAGTATCAGTAGTAGTAGTAGCAGCAACAGTAGTAGTAGTAGAAGTAGTAGTAGTAGTAGTAGTAGTAGTAGTAGTAGTAGTAGTAGTAGTAGTAGTAGTAGTAGTAGTAGTAGTAGTAGTAGTAGTAGCAGCAGCAGTAGCAGCAGTAGCAGCAGTAGCAGTAGTAGTAGTAGTACTATTAGTAGTAGCAGTAGTAGTAGCAGCAGCAGTAGCAGCAGTAGTAGTAGCAGCAGCAGTAGTAGTAGCAGTAGTAGCAGTAGCAGCAGCAGTAGTAGTAGTAGTAGTAGTAGCAGTAGTAGTAGTAGTAGTAGTAGTAGTAGTAGTAGTAGTAGTAGTAGTAGTAGTAGTAGTAGTAGTAGTAGAGATAGCAGCAGCAGTAGAAGCAGCAGCAGTAGCAGCGGTAGTAGTAGTTATAATAGCAGCAGCAGTAGTAGTACTAGCAGCAGTAGCAGCAGTAGCAGCAGCAGAAGTAGCAGTGTAGTAGCATGTAACGCTGTGCCAGTACTTGAGGAAGAAGTGCTACAAGCAAGCGTCTACTCGACTCGTGCCCTATGTGACGATGTGCCATGACTTGAGGAAGAAGTCCTACAAGCAAGCGTCTACTCGACTCGTGCCCTATGCGATGTTGTGCCAGTACTTGAGGAAGAAGTGCTACAAGCAAGCGTCTACTCGACTCATGCCCTATGTGACGATGTGCCAGTACTTGAGGAAGAAGTGCTACAAGCAAGCGTCTACTCGACTCATGCCCTATGTGACGATGTGCCAGTACTTGAGGAAGAAGTGCTACAAGCAAGCGTCTACTCGACTCATGCCCTATGTGATGTTGTGCCAGTACTTGAGGAAGAAGTGCTACAAGCAAGCGGCTACTCGACTCGTGCCCTATGTGACGATGTGCCAGTACTTGAGGAAGAAGTGCTACAAGCAAGCGTCTACTCGACTCCTGCCCTATGTGACGATGTGCCAGTACTTGAGGAAGAAGTGCTACAAGCAAGCGTCTACTCGACTCCTGCCCTATGTGATGTTGTGCCAGTACTTGAGGAAGAAGTGCTACAAGAAAGCGTCTGCTCGACTCGTGCCCTATGTGATGTTGTGCCAGTACTTGAGAAGTGCTACAAGCAAGCGTCTGCTCGACTCGTGCCCTATGTGATGTTGTGCCAGTACTTGAGAAGTGCTACAAGCAAGCGTCTACTCGACTCATGCCCTATGTGATGTTGTGCCAGTACTTGAGGAAGAAGTGCTACAAGCAAGCGTCTACTCGACTCATGCCCTATGTGATGTTGTGCCAGTACTTGAGGAAGAAGTGCTACAAGCAAGCGTCTACTCGACTCATGCCCTATGTGACGATGTGCCAGTACTTGAGGAAGAAGTGCTACAAGCAAGCGTCTACTCGACTCATGCCCTATGTGATGTTGTGCCAGTACTTGAGGAAGAAGTGCTACAAGCAAGCGGCTACTCGACTCGTGCCCTATGTGACGATGTGCCAGTACTTGAGGAAGAAGTGCTACAAGCAAGCGTCTACTCGACTCCTGCCCTATGTGACGATGTGCCAGTACTTGAGGAAGAAGTGCTACAAGCAAGCGTCTACTCGACTCGTGCCCTATGTGATGTTGTGCCAGTACTTGAGGAAGAAGTGCTACAAGCAAGCGTCTGCTCGACTCGTGCCCTATGTGATGTTGTGCCAGTACTTGAGAAGTGCTACAAGCAAGCGTCTGCTCGACTCGTGCCCTATGTGATGCTGTGCCAGTACTTGAGAAGTGCTACAAGCAAGCGTCTGCTCGACTCGTGCCCTATGTGATGTTGTGCCAGTACTTGAGAAGTGCTACAAGCAAGCGTCTACTCGACTCATGCCCTATGTGATGTTGTGCCAGTACTTGAGGAAGAAGTGCTACAAGCAAGCGTCTACTCGACTCATGCCCTATGTGATGTTGTGCCAGTACTTGAGGAAGAAGTGCTACAAGCAAGCGTCTGCTCGACTCGTGCCCTATGTGATGTTGTGCCAGTACTTGAGGAAGAAGTGCTACAAGCAAGCGTCTACTCGACTCATGCCCTATGTGACGATGTGCCAGTACTTGAGGAAGAAGTGCTACAAGCAAGCGTCTACTCGACTCATGCCCTATGTGATGTTGTGCCAGTACTTGAGGAAGAAGTGCTACAAGCAAGCGTCTGCTCGACTCGTGCCCTATGTGATGTTGTGCCAGTACTTGAGGAAGAAGTGCTACAAGCAAGCGTCTACTCGACTCATGCCCTATGTGACGATGTGCCAGTACTTGAGGAAGAAGTGCTACAAGCAAGCGTCTACTCGACTCATGCCCTATGTGATGCGAGGTAATGTCTTCAAAGACTGCTCCATCACCACCCCTCCATGTCATGTTAGGACTGGCAGGAACATGAAAGGGTCAACGAATAACCACCAGAATGTATTCTGAGAACTGCTCTCTCTCTCTCTCTCTCTCTCTCTCTCTCTCTCTCTGTCCGTCTGTCTGTCTGTCAGTCTGTCTATCTATCTATATATATCTCTCTCTGTCCGTCTGTCTGTCTGTCTGTCTGTCTGTCTGTCTGTCTGTCTGTCTGTCTGTCTGTCTGTCTGTCTGTCTGTCTGTCTGTCTGTCTGTCTGTCCGTCCGTCCGTCCGTCCGTCCGTCCGTCCGTCCGTCCGTCCGTCCGTCCGTCCGTCCGTCCGTCCGTCCGTCCGTCCGTCCGTCCGTCCGTCCGTCCGTCCGTTCTCTATCCAACCATCCACACATGCCCATCCCTCTCCCTTCCTACACGCACACACAAACCGCCAGTCCCCCTTATACTACCAAACTCTAGCCCCGACATGAGTCACGGCCAACCAACCCTACGTGTCGGCACGGCCAGGCAGCAGACGCCAAAGCTTCCGCTAATACGTGCTGAAACTTTGCAGACCGCCCTCAGATGCTATCTAGATTCGGGAACTCAAATATGCCAGACCCTCCTGCTTACCAAATGCCAGCCGTCGCTGCGACGTCCCTCTCTGTGTTTAGACTGCCAGTTTGCTAGGTCAGCCTTAGGCAGATAGGGGAGTAGATATGGCTGAAGTCGTACCGGGGCTTGTTTATTTCTTGTATTTTATAGGCGTTTTGCGCGTTAATTACGTCTACTGATAAATAATAATAACAACAATCTTTCTTTCTTTCTTTTGTCATTCATTATTTTTGCATCAGAATCAGATTGGAAAACCAACACTACGAAACAGATTTTCTGAAACACCCTAACAGAACAGACCAAGTCACAGTTTTTCGCTTACGTACTGGACACTGCAGACTCAATAAACACTCACATAAATTAGGTATGAGCCAAACAGCTCTCTGCCAGTGCCTTCGTGCTGAACAGACTCCAGAACATGTCCTGCAAGACTGTCCTCTCTTGGCGGAGCTACGGAGCAACATATAGCACCACCCAGTAGAACTGACAAATAAGCTTTGGGGACACCTAAGAGATCTTGAAAAGACATCCCAGTTTATGGCACACAGTGCATTATGCGCATGACCAGAGATCGCTGAAGAAGAAGATTAATTATACTGTCTATTGAACGAGGAGATCAAACAAGTGGCCCGCAGAGACACATCAAGTGGCCCGCGGATCACTGCCACCTGTATAGTATTAATGACCTGTCTTAATGTATTAATGACCTGTCTTAATGTATTAATGACCTGTCTTAATGTATTAATGACCTGTCTTAATGTATTAATGACCTGTCTTAATGTATTAATGACCTGTCTTAATGTATTAATGACCTGTCTTGATGTATTAATGACCTGTCTTAATGTATTAATGACCTGTCTTAATGTATTAATGACCTGTCTTAATGTATTAATGACCTGTCTTGATGTATTAATGACCTGTCTTAATGTATTAATGACCTGTCTTAATGTATTAATGACCTGTCTTAATGTATTAATGACCTGTCTTGATGTATTAATGACCTGTCTTGATGTATTAATGACCTGTCTTGATGTATTAATGACCTGTCTGTGAGCAGAGGGTGTACCTCTCACCCCCGACAGGGGCTTGGAACACTCGCGCAAACGTGTGACAACCACACTAGGACCGCACAAACGGGGATAAAACAGTCGGTGACACAAAGTGTCACCATTCGGATGAGAATCACCCAGGCACAAGTCCTAGAAAAGCCGTTCAGCCGTTAGGATTTATTAGAGCCCATGACTACAGCCGGTGTGGGGCTTCAAAATAACAAAAAACTGCATCCTTTTTTTGAGACGGAGTTACTGTAACTACCCACACAGACGATAACACGTTAACAAATATGCTGTGCCTTATGCACACATTTTCATTTCACAAGGGACTTCTTGGCAAACTGAGGCATATATACCATTTTCACTTTACACCTGACAGTTTTTAAACCATCTAGGACCTTTTTCAAGTCAAACTGGACGATTTTCAAACCACTGAGGACGTTTTTCAAATCAAACTGGACGATTTTCAAATCAAACTGGACGATTTTCAAATCAAACTGGACGATTTTCAAACCAAACTGGACGATTTTCAAACCAAACTGGACGATTTTCAAACCAAACTGGACGATTTTCAAACCAAACTGGACGATTTTCAAATCAAACTGGACGATTTTCAAATCAAACTGGACGATTTTCAAATCAAACTGGACGATTTTTTAATCAAATAGGACACTTTTCAAAATGTACAATTCGATTTGAAAAACGTCCTAGGTGGTTTAAAAATCGTCCAGTTTGATTTCAAAAGTGTCCAGTTTAAAGTGAAAATTGGGTATATATTTTACAGGGAATGCATATTATAGACCAGCCTTTACAGTAGATGGCCGTTGAGACAGCATCAAGTCAGCCGTTCTATTTCTCAAACAAGAAAACAGCAAGCACAGATGTCATCTGCCAACACATCAAAAGAAAAACGCACTCAACTACCCGGGTTGCTATCATTTGCTCCTAATAAGCACGCAGAAAGGGAGGGGAGGGGGAGGTTCCATTCACGCCAATCCTGCGCGCTCACTCACAATGATAACGCAGGGCTTTCCAAACTGTCCCTGCTGGTGGCTCACTGATAATGATAAGGCTTTCCAAACTGTCCATGCTGATGGCTCACTGATAATGATAAGGCTTCCAAACTGTTCCTGCTGTTGGCTTACTGATAATGATAAGGCTTTCGTTTGTTTGTTTGTTTTAGTGTCCAGAAGCCGTGAGTTGTTAACCCTTAGGCTCGGTATTATGGATATCACAACCTTTCGACCTTGATTCCATTGTAAATACCGTAAATCTAGAAGAAATGTGGCTTTTCTGCCTACACCCGGGAGTGAACCCGGACCACAAGGAGTTCGTCACCCGGTCACCGCGCAGTCCGGTTTAGTTAACTACGCTAGAGAGCCGGGCGATAGTGCTTTCCAACTGTCCGTACAGGTGGCTCACTGATAATGATAAGGCTTTCCAAACTGTTCGTGTTGGTGGCTCACTGATAATGATAAGGCTTTGTAAACTGTTCGTGTTGGTGGCTCACTGATAATGATAAGGCTTTCCAAACTGTTCGTTCAGATGGCTCATTGATAATGAAAAGGCTTTCAAAACTGTTCGTGTTGGTGGCCCACTGATAACGATAAAGCTTTCCCAACTGTTCGTGCTGGTGGCTCACTGATAATGATAAAGCTTTCAGACAAGCAATTCAGTCTACTAACAAAGCAGAAGTTTAAATAACCCCTTATAGAAAACCAAGCACTCAAAGGACTCGTCTGTTTTTCCACGCAAACACCCGTACTGGTCATATAGGGCTAAACGTATATTTTATAGACAAAGGGGCATTCAGCGGGTGATGTGGTCAACATCAAGCCGACCGCCTTTACTTCCCAGGACTTGAACTGATAGCCTTTTAGGATCCGTAAAGGACCAGAACCCTGGATCTTGGGATTGGTAGGCGAGCGTCTAGCCTTACATCAGACACAACAACAAATTGTTTCCTAACACATCTTACCTCATGAACACCTTTCATTTCTATTATATCTAAGTAACGTCAACCTTTTCATTTATAGCAGGTGTTGGAAGAAGGTGGTGAGCAGTTGAGAAGTTTTCAGTACTGGTCATCGCTTTAACTATGCTAGGCAGAAGGTGCCTTTGTAGACTCAGTGACTAAGACAACCCGTCCAAGGTGGGTATTGCTCTCACAGAAAGACATTGTCAATTACTGTGAGTCAGAAAATCTACATTTTAGGTCATGTGATTAGGAGGAGAAAAGTGGATTATATCGTGACAGTAGGAAAGTTGGAGGGAAGGAGAGGCAGAGGGAGACCGAGAGAACAGATGCTTGACAGTCTGACATCATGGCATGGAGGTTCATCTGTGTCAGAGTTGACTGAAAGTACACGAGACAGAAGGTTGTGGATAGACATGACTACCAACACTACACGGCATGGACTATGGAGGATCATCTGTGTCAGAGTTGACTGAAAGTACATGAGACAAAAGGTTGTGGATAGACATGACTACCAACGCCACACGGCATGGACTATGGAGGATCATCTGTGTCAGAGTTGACTGAAAGTACACGAGACAGAAGGTTGTGGATAGACATGACTACCAACGCCACACGGCATGGACTATGGAGGATCATCTGTGTCAGAGTTGACTGAAAGTACATGAGACAGAAGGTTGTGGATAGACATGACTACCAACGCCACACGGCATGGACTATGGAGGATCATCTGTGTCAGGGTTGATTGAAAGTACACGAGACTGAAGGATATGGATAGACATGACTACCAACGCCACAAGGCATGAACTATGGAAAAGCATCTGTGTCAGAGTTGATTGAAAGTACACGAGACAGAAGGCTGTGGATAGACATGACTACCAACACCACACGGCATGGACTATGGAGGATCATCTGTGTCAGAGTTGATTGAAAGTACATGAGACAGAAGGTTGTGGATAGACATGACTACCAACACCACACGGCATTGACTATGGAGGATCATCTGTGTCAGAGTTGATTGAAAGTACATGAGACAGAAGGTTGTGGATAGACATGACTACCAACGCCACAAGGCATGAACTATGGAAAAGCATCTGTGTCAGAGTTGATTGAAAGTACACGAGACAGAAGGCTGTGGATAGACATGACTACCAACGCCACACGGCATGGACTATGGAAGACCATCTGTGTCAGAGTTGATTTAAAGTACAAGAGACAGAAGGCTGTGGATAGACATGACTACCAACGCCACACGACAATGACTCTAAGAAGAAAAGCCATTCAATGATAAAAATAATAACCAATAATATTAACGGATTCTCTCCTCAGATACATCAAAAACAGCTGGCCAAGTCTTTATCTTTGTGTCGGGGCTGCAGGTGTTCACGGCAATGAGCGTGTAGATAATGTGGCAAACAAGGCGGTTACCGCGACTGGCCAGGCACTGGCCAGGAGCGATGCCACGAGAGCTGCATATCGAAGAGAAGATCACGACAACAAGCAGGTATCAGTGGCCTTGTCCAGGTTGGTGAACATGGCAGTGCAATCGGGAGCAGCCAGAAATTAACATTTCACACAGAACCGTTGGGATCAGCCGTTTTTCTCATATGGAGATATTAAGGAGGAGACGGAGAACCAATGGATCTGTACGAAGTGCTGTAATGATAATGCTCACTACTTATAATAATACAATCAACTAAATAACACCAATAAAAGTGGCGTCGCATGCCAATTATCATGTTGAGTTGAGTCAATAACTGACATCACAGCACTCAGGGCATTTCCATGCATGCTCCGTCCTTATCTTCAGCAGCCAGAGTTCCAATACTGATGGTACCAGTTACAATCTGGTTATATGTCCGTCTTGCCTTTCCTCTGAGTGTAGTGAGCCGGCTAGACCCTCTGGTTACACTCAGGTGCCTCATTCTCTCCAGGCCATAATAATCTTCTTTCTCTACTGATTCCGTTGCTTGTTACCAAAAGGCCTTGACCATATCTGCCATGTCATGTATTAATTCACCATCCAGCCAAACTGCCCGCCTGTTCATTACCCACACCACTGGCATAGCCTGGAGAAAAGATCCAAAGTATCGATTATCATGGTTAACGCTTCAGGTTCGTGCGATACTTCTGCACACTGCAACTGATACACTGTTACTAGACAGCTTGGAAAGATCTCAGACCGACTATGTGCCCAGCTGGGCATTGTTGAATGATGTTTTGACTGGCTGGCGTGGAGATAAGTACATGCTAATGTATTCCAGGTGGCACAGTGGGCAAGGGAAGGGTTGTGGATTTCTGTTGACCTACTGTAGGGAAGGTGGTGTTCCCCTGTTTTCCGATTTTCTTTATGAGTGTGGGACTATTAGTGTTGACACATCTAACAGCTGCCGTGTGCACTTTCACTTTGCATGTGCAAGCTTCAGGATTTTGCTGGGATCGACAAGTTTTCAAATAAGACTGTGAATAACAACATCAGTTTGCACCTAGGTAAAAAGTAAGTAAAGTAAAGATCCCTTTTCACGCCTTTAGGCGCATCGGGCATATGGGAAGAGCGCACATATTTTTTCAGACCAATTAGCACTAGGTGGGTAATGTGGTCAGCATTACGCCGGCCGTCTTTACTTTCCCAGGACAGTCGTCCTGATACCTATTTAAGGCTGGGTCGACCTGCGACGCCCCATACCACGATAAAATCCAGGCAGCCAGCAGTGGCTTTCGATCGCGGTATGTTGGAATTACGAGTCGGGCTCGCAACGCCTAAGCTAATGACGCCGCTGACCTGGGTGAACAGATCCTCGGATAATGCAAAGACGGCGACCATGATCAAGTTATTTAAGAACCGTGGCACTTCAAATGCCAAATATGGAATTCAGGTTGAGGCAATATATCAAGACCGTAATTCGTCATCAGACACAGACGTGGAAAGCTGAGGTGCTTTAATAATATCCTACCCCAAACATGGGAAATCCACAGGTCATGGGACAGTCTAATATATCAGGGTTTGGTAGAAAGGCTGCGTGCAG